AAATAAAATATTAATAAAAATGACCACAAAAAACAATTTCAAGTGAAAAATAAACACTTCTGTTAAATTATTGCTGTGTGTCCACATTGTAAACAAACAAACAAAATAACTGAAGAACTCCAGCTTTTAGAGAGACATAACATTAATGAACCTATTGCAGAGTACCCACATTGTAATAAAAAATATATATAACACTGAACTATTTGGGACTCTCTCCAGCTTTCAGATTGAAAAAAAACCCCACGAAGAATATAATAAATGAAAATTAGGTTTCAGAATAAACAAAATAACAAAACAAAATAACTATTTGGCACTGTCTACAGGTTTCAGATTCACATAACATTAATGAACCACCTATTGCAGTGTCCACATTTTAATCAAACAAAACAACTTCAGTCAGCAAGCAATGGTGTTACCTCTGAACTAAGCTGTTTTTGAGAGGCAGGTTCTTTTTGATGAAAAGAATCACCTCTGCATAATCAGCTGTGAGCCTGTTTCTGCTTTCATTCACAATGTGTAACACTGAGCTGAACAGCCTTTCACTATCAACACTTATGCACGGTGCCGAAAGGTATCTGCCCGCCAGTTTAGCCAGGTTTGAGAACCGCACTTTATTAACCATCCAGTACTGTAGAGGTTTGTCTTCTCATAAAATTGCAGCCTATCCAAGATATCTCTCTAACTCTACACTAGAACCTACCGCACCTCTGCCCATCGATGCTGATGTCTGCTCATCTGCAATTTCATCAAACATGCTGTCCAGATTAGTAATGGGCTGGTCACTGCGTGCTTTTCTTGATGGTGGCTCATTCAGGTCATTATCCTCCTGCTTAGCAGCTCAAGTTTCAGCATCTCTTTGGCATTTGCAGCAGTTATGGTGCAGTTTGATCCCTTGGTCTTCATCAGTCTCCCTTGATAGAAATCTGGAGCACAGTGACTGCTGGAATTACATCTGCAGCCATGGCATCTGAGGAGCTGACTTTTCGAGTTAACTCCTCAAATGGACCCAGAACAGATATCACCTTTTTCAGCAGTGTCCACTGGTGAGCCATGAGCGTATCAGGGAGTCCATATTCAGACACGAATATTCCCAGAGCCCGTTTCTACTCAATGACTGTATCATAAAAAATTTGCTGTTCCAGCGGGTCTGAACGTCTTGCTGGAGCCGCTTCAAAGGCTGGTTGATTCTTAATTGAATGTCCTCGAGATGGGAGCTGGTCAGAGCAGAATGTTTAACATGTCCAACTATTATGTGGCCAACTGCCACCACATCAGCAACACTCTTCTGTGACAGAAGGCCCTCATGAACAACTAGCTGTAGAGTGTGAGCAATACAAGGTAGGCTGGGCAGCTCAGCATCACTCATGGCCTTTATCATATTTCTTGCATTGTCCCGGAGTGCTACGTGGACAGACATCTTTGGTATATCCCAGGTTTGAAGCATGCTATCGAAAGCAGTTGCGATGGTTTGGCTGGTGTGCGAGCCCCTGAACGACTTTGCATGTAGTGTTACTTGATGATGAACAAACTCCTCATCAATCCACTGCACCGTTAAACTGAGGAGTGACATCGGGCACACGCTGCTTGTCCAAATGTCTGTAGTGAAACTTACAGCTGAAACCTCCTTTATGAGGCTATGGACCTTCTTTTTTTTTTTACCTCTTCAAAAAGTTTTGGCACCATTATGTCCGTGATGTATGGGCGGCTGGAAATCTCATATCGCGGCTCGAGTATGCTGAGAAGACAGCAAAATCTTACATTTTCCACTGGCTGGTCATCCAAAGCGATAAAATGCCCGTGGATTTTCCTCTTGACATTTTTCATCGCTTTTCCAAAACCAGAGTTAAAGTTGGCTGTTCTGGTCTAGTGTTAGCCTTAGCAAACTCAGTTTACTGCAGCGCATGATGCATCCTCAGATGTTTTATTAAATTGCTTGTATTGTACCATGTACAAGTCCACACTGCTGACATTTTGTTTAGTGTAAATACTAGGGGTGCAACAATATTTGTATTGATATTGAACCGTTCGATACAGTGCTTTCGGTTCGGTACGCATATGTATCGAACAATACAAAATTTGTAATTTATTTTATCAACTTTCCTTCTGACGATGCTGTCTGTGTTGAGTGTTCAGTGAATCTGCGTTCGACTACTCCGCCTAGGCTGCACTGTCGAGCACAGATCCACTGAGCGCGCAACACAGACAGCATAGTCAGAAGGAAGAGCGCAGGGCAAGCTAGCGAGACAGAAGTTAAGCTCTCCTTGCAACATGGCAAATTGAACCTCCCCCACCCTCATTCAGATCTGG